TTTGTTTTTCAACTGTTTCACAGTTTCTTTCCCTTGTACATAAGTATCAAATGTTGTTGGCTGAATATTTTACTTATGCTTATTTGGAGTGAGCATTTCTGTTACCCCTGGCCCATAAGGGACCAATTTAGCTGCATTGAAGCAGTTTTGGTGTTCAGTTCCTCCTTTTCAAAGAGTTGCATTTCCACATCAGTTAAATCCTATGTATGCCGGCATCTTCCCTACTTCCAGCTCAATGAATGTTTAAAAGAGATACTTCTCCCTGCTGCCTATCCTTACACATACTTGTGCCTCCGTTATCTAAATGGTGGGGGGGGGCATGAAAGTAATGCCGAGAAGCAGGGGAATTTTTAATGTAAATGATGCATCACAAGGGAGGTAACCTCATTCTGGCTGAATGAGGTTTTATATACAGAAATGCAAAATATTCATCCTATGTATCATTAAAGTGTTGCAGCAAAGCTCTTCCAAGTAAGTGCCTGAGTAAATCCTGCATTGGTGACCATATCTCAGCCATCTACCCCAGCCTGCTCTATGGTGCTGTCTTACACAATTGCAAGCACGTCCCACGGCATCCACTTGTTTGCTGCAGTTCTCATCCCAAGAAAATCTGCATCCCATTGGTGGTTTCACACCCTAGTAAGAGATAGAGCAGGTGATTTTGTAGGGTTTGTTGGGTGATTTTGTAGGATTTGTTGTTGTTTTGCTCTAATATGCTGTCTTGAAGATTAATGGATTGTAGGGTATGGCTGTGTAGGTGCCCTTAGGATCATGAAATAGTCTGATGCTCTGAGACTGGAAATACAGTAAGTGTGAGTGTTGTTTTAGGTTATGACTTTTCCTTGAGCTGCTTTAAGTGAGCTTTGTGATGTTAATGCCCTGGTATAACAGAAAGGGCAGGATTTTCAGAAGAGTTTTTGCTGCTGACTTCAGCTCTCACACCATGAACCGGGTGCCCCACGGTCACTCAGCTCATGTTTGGAAAGCCCGTCTCATGGTCATATTTGACCTCAGCTTCCCACACTCATTTGCACATGGAAATTGGCCCTGGGGAATTAGATCCCTATGGGCAGTATATGTGCACCTTTCCTGCAGCGAGTGTGCAAATATCTCTGAATCCTAGGTATTCCTGCTGCATCTGAGTGACAGGTTGAAGATATCTCTGCCCGACTATCAGCTTAACTTTGCAAAGCCCTTTCGGAAGTCATGGTGCTGCATAAGCAGAAGATAAAATTATTTAGAGGCTTTTTTTGCTGTTTCTACTGGCATAATGGAGCCTAAATGGTCTCCTTCACACTAGCTGACACAACCCTTTTTCACTGTAGGATGGAAAAAGCCTGATTAAAAATAGGTCAAGGGAGTGTGATGTAAACACTGATGTTTAAGAGCTCCTAATGAGCTGGCAGAAGATGGCATCAAGCCAGGCTGTGTGTTGAGCCCGTGGCGGGTGTGTAAGGGTGGCACAGTGCAGTGCGTTGCGTGGGGCACTGGACCCTCTATGGGGATACGCTGTGTGCAACGTGCTACAAAGCCTGCAGGTTGGAAAGCTGTCCTCAGAGTGGTTGACTTGGCACAGTCATCCAGGAGAGATGTGAGGTGTGCTCCTGTATCTATATTTCGAGCTCCTATATGGGCTGTTGCCGTGGCTGGTTATGCTTTGCTGGGTTTTGCCACTAAATTCTGTAGAGTTGGGCACCTTTCTGTGCACGGGGCGCCAAACCAGTGCTGGGCCAGGCTCTTGCTGCCCTGTGGGCATTTTCCCATTCCTTCAAAACCACAAGAGGAGCAGGCAGTGCTTCCAGAAGAGACAGCGCTGACCTGGAGCTGAGGCTGCTCCACTTGCCCAATTCTCCCCCTCCAAACCCCTGCTCCGAAACCATTCCCGCCGTGCCTGGCAGACAGGGAGGCCGTGAGCCCGTTGCTGCTGTGAGCACACGTCGGCCAGGCCAGGGACCCGCGTATTCGGCTGTGGTGTAGCCTCCCGGCTCTGAGACGAGGTTCCTCCACACCAGCGAGGGCTGGGGGAGGCTCCCGCATCTTCCATGCGGTTTGATCCACCCGGCTTGTTAACACTCGCTTGCTTTTGTGATTAATTATTTAACGTTCTCTCGCGGTGCTGGGGGTATAATAACACAGCCCTCCGTTTCTGCTGAGATTCACAGTTCTTTGCTTTCTCCCTGCCGGCGCTTCGTGCCGCGCTGGAGCGCGCGGGTCCATGTGCTGACGCTCAAAGACCCCGGCCACATCCGAGCCATTTCAGCCAGCCTCCAGCCCCCGCTGCCTCCTCGGCCCCAAAAGATGCTCCTGGGCACACTTGAACAATGCGCAGACAGGAGATGGGGTTTGTGATGCCTCCATGTGCAGGCAGACGTGGGGATCACAACTCAGAGGCCGGCTTGTCAGCGAGGAGACTTCATTGTGAGCGTCAGCCTTGGCAGTCGCCTTTCACTTCTCTTCTGGATGCTGTTTGAGTGGCTTTTTTCAGTCCCCTCCGTGTGGTGTCTGCAGTGGTTTGGGGTGGGTTGGACTGGGCCCGCGCACTGCCCCCGTTTGCTCTCTAAGGCAGTGCGTGCAGAAGATGGCCGCCATGCAGGGTAGAGAAGATGGCCGCCATGTGGGGTACAGAAGATGGCCGCCATGCGGGGCGCAGGGGCCACCTGCACCTCTCTGACCATGGGGCCTGTGGTCTTGTCCTCTGATGTCCCTCCCGCCCCTCCTTGCTCTCTCTCCCTGCTTGTGTGATGCTGGCGTTGCTGACAGAGACAAGGCCTCCAGTGGATGTTCTCCACCATTCCCCTCCTTTGGCCACCAGAAGGTGCTTATCAAATAGCTGCTTGGCTTCTTTGGTGTAGAGTTCTGCAAAACCTTCTTTTCTGGGGCACCTACGTGGACATGGAACCCAGGGGTCTCCAGAACCATCTTCTGCAAGCTAGGTGGCCTCACAGGAGTGATGACCTGTTGCTGGTTGGGCGCGGGTGCATCCATCTCCAGTGTCCATTAATGAAACTTAAATAACTCCCTTGGACAGAGAAGCAGGGGTTAATACATAAGGTGGAAGGAATCCAGAGTGGAGGTGGAATCTGGCAGTTAGATCACAGTAAAAATGAAAGTCATGCCAAAAATAATCATTCTGTTTTCAGTTTGGACCGGTTCTTAAATCTGCATTGGACTATGGCATAAATATAGGTGCCCAGCATTTATTTTTGACAGCGAATAAGTTCTTTTAAGAGCCCCATATCACAACCACTATACAATATCAGTTGAGTCATTTATCGATACTGAACGTTGGAAAGGTGGAGTGCCTCTACGTAGTCTTGCCCTTATACAGTTTGCTAGTTTACTGCGTGCCTGTGGACCTGCCTATGGTAAGCGGAAATTAAAATACATAATCATGTGTAGGATTCAGACTACCAGCTCATTTTTCAAAAAATTGGAAAAAAAAAGATGATTCTGTGATAGAACAGTACATGAAAAAGTAAAGTTAAAGCATACATTATGTACAACAACTTGGTAAAATCCCGCTTATGAAATTGTTAAACCTCTCAAATTATTATCTAAATAAATATTTTATTGCATTTTAATTTGCTTTATTATATTGCATGGTGCTTTGAGCACCTTGGCTTCATAAATAAAATAATTATTATGTAGAGTCTGCAACATGAAAATTAATGCTTAAATGCTTGGAGACTTATAAAAATTTCAGCACTTTTTCTATGGCTTGTGATAAGGGTTCATAAGCACGCTAATTTTTCTGCTCTTGTACATTACAGGTCACCAGAATACAAGAGATATTAACAAAATCTGTATTCTTTTATTAAGAGACTCCGGCATTTGGAGGGCAGCGTGCCCAGCTGCACTGCTGCAGTGCTCTAACAACTTCTCCAGATGCTGCAATAGCAATAAAACATGACAGGATTGTGTAAAATCTCTATTAATCACTCTTTTTGATAATGCAAAGAGAGCATGTTACAGTAGCTGTCTAAATCCCCTAGTGCTCCTGAAAATTTGGGGCAATTAGTGAGGAGGATTGTCTTCTGTTGCTGTAGGTTTTGAAGTTTAACTCTTTTTGTGGTGCCCGTAGCCTTTTTGCACGCAGTGGGATCAGGATATGGGCTTGTGCCTGTGCCGTATGTCTTCCATAAGAGGTTTTAGGAAGGGGCACAACTCTTGGGTGCAAAGGCAGAGCATGTTCAACCTGCATCCCCAGCCTCCTCCGAGGCACCACATTCTACTGCAAGTCCTCCCGTGCGTTATTTGTGTTTCTCTCCTAGCTTTGCAGCCTCTGGATGGGGTAGGAAGAAAGTTGTTGGGTTGGGAGCATCCCTGCACTGTTTTCTTGAGCCCCGTGGGGTGGTGGGTGTCATTGCCTTCTCCGAGATGTCACTGGGTCTCCTGACACCCCTCCTGCTGTTGCAGACGGGATGAGTCGTGTGTCACCACGGCACCTCCCTGTGCTCAGGAACTGCTACCGAGTCCTCGTTTGTCAGTTTAACACTGAGTTAATCTCTGGGTGCAAGACTCGTTACTGACTAGGCACAGAGAGGAAGCCAAGGGGTCTCCTTCCCATCCTGTAATATGCACATCTAACACTGCAGGGGTAGAGGATGCTTAAAAATGAACCTTCTGGCAAGACTGCCAAACGGATGCGACTTGCCCTTTCCCAGCCACCCTTCCCCACGGCTCCTTGGTAGCCAGGAAGCGTTCCGGAAGGAGCTAATTAGGCCCGAGCTGTTTCAACCTCCTCTGATCCCTAAGAAAGAGTTAATTACAGTCTTCTCCCTCTTGCTCAAAGGTGGCTGGGTATTATCATCAGAGCTGTAATTATTCATGCTAATTGCTTATTTGGAGAGGCAACGAGAGAGCGCGAGGAGCCCCAGCCTCCACATCAGTGGTTAGCAGAGAGGACCAGGTGCACCTCGTGGAGGCTGGACCGAGCTGCAAGGAGCCCAGGGATGCTGGGCTCAGTTTAAGCAAGCGGTGGAGCAGACCAGGTCTCATCAATGCTGCCACCACCGCTGGGGCTGAGAAGAAGGAGCATGCACTTCTTGCAGACCTTCCTCCGATGGAGGGCACTCCGAGGTAATTGCGCTCTTGATGGGAATCTCCGTTTGTGTTGTGGCTTAATTAACCTTTCCGTTTATTTATTTATTTATTCTTTAATCTCCCTACAAGGGACCAGCAGGGGTTGAGAGATGCTTGTCTGAGGCTTGAGCTTGGGTTGCTCTGCAGATTGGGAGCCTCATTGTGTTTCATTAACCTAGCAGTGATTTCTGCGATGTCCTGACTGCCGTGGTGTTGATGTGCTGCTGAAGTGAGGTGGGAAGGAGGGAAAAAGGTGCTCTGGCCGTTTCCCCTTGCGGGCTCTTAAGAATGAGGCTGATCTCCTGCCGGGGCTTCTCCCTCTGAGCGAATCCGGGGTCTGCCTGCTCAGAGCAGCGCGTTTAAGCTTAGTGTGTTACCGGCTGTTTCGTTTGCTGGGAAACGCTGCCTGTGTGAGGGCTGCGGGAAGCTGTCGCCGGGTGTCCACGGGATGGAGATGGGGATGGAGGTGCATGGGGAGCGCCCTGGCACTCGCAGGCTGCTTCCAAAGCAACTGTGCTCTTCCTGAGGCTGGAATCTGCCCTAAAAAGGATATTTTCCCCTTCATTTTCCTCTTTTATTTTTTCTCCCTTTTTATTTATTGATTTAGTTCTTTTCAATCTAATTTTTTGTGATTTCTCTCTAAGTCTTGAATTCCCCCTTGTCTGGCCACAGTTAGACTAGAAAAACCAGCAATGAGGATTGCACTTAAAGATGCTCTGAAGTGTCTGGGGTTAAGAAAGCAGCCGGAAGGAGCTGTCCCGCACCAAATACTTCCCAGTGCTCCACTATCTTTTTTATAAGGTCTACCTGCCATCTGCCTTACAGACGGCATCCACGTGCTGCGTTGACAGCCAAGCTGGACTGCTCTCTTTTCTGGAGATCTTAAATTATTACCCTTGTGCTGTAACGTCCTAACTCCACAACGACTTGCCGTAGCGATGTTTTAATACACTGAATAATCTTTTCATCTGGGTATTTTACTACTTAATTTATAGCGGCTTCCCACATTCATATTCTGTGCCTGACAGAGGAACTGGCTCTCGGGTACAGTGAGATGGGGACTGCTAGCTGAGGATGGCAGTTGTCCCCAAACAGATTCACATGGATTCATGGAATGGTTGAAGTTGGAAAGGACCTCTAGAGATCACCTAGTCCAACACCCCTTCTCAAGCAGGGACACCCAGAGCAGGGGCACAGGGTGGCATCCGGTGGGTTTGGAAGATCTTCAGATCACTCTTTACCCTCTCCCTCCTCCTGCTCAGGTGATATTCAGGGGAATACACGGCAAGGTCACTTAGAGTGACTTTGTGCGCCTATTTAGTCAAGTATTTGAGACTGCAAAAATAGCAGAAAAGCTCTGTACGAGGCTGCCTGGAGGGGAACAGGAAGCTTCATCTTCGGGCTGTGTCGAACACTGTGGTAGTTTGGGCAGTGTTATCATCTTCCTGCTTTTTCCTGGCAAAATCTATTAATTAATAGGCTACATCAATCACTGCTCATTGAATTTGACAGACCTGAGACTCTGTGCTAATTCCTGGAGCTGCTTGGTGTGGTGGGTATGAGCTCCTGCCTTAAGGGCCAGGGCAGTTAGCAAGTAATAATCTGTCAATTTGAGTTCTTGCTGCATCTTCCCCACCATAAATCAGGATGGGAGCTGGCGGGGGAGCTTACAAAACTCTATGTAAGATCAGTCAGTTCTGATAGATGGAAAGATGGAAAGAAAGATGGAAAACGTCTATGGTATTGGAAGAATAAAGCTGAGGAGAGGTGTTTGGCTGATCATCAAATGGCTTTTACAGCAGAGCAAATATAAATGGGGACTGGGGCAGCAGGGCTTGCATGAAGCCGCTCTCCAGGTTGCAGCAGCAGCTCTGGCCTGAGGCTGCCCAAGCTCGGGGGCAAACAGCAGCCCCAAGCAGCCTGGGACTGCACGGCCCAACAACGGCCCCTGGAAACATCCCTGCTAGAAATCCCTGTCTGCCCTGAGGAATAGCCCGTGCTGCGGGTCACAGCACGCTGCTTTTTTGTTGCTAGCTCTCTGTGCTCACAACATCGAGGAGGGCATCCTGCATCGCCCTCAACCCGGCAGGACTTGAAAAACCTTGCTAACCTTTTTCCTTGTCATTTTTGCCTGAATAGTGACATGCCCTGGTGATATAAGGCAGCAGAGAGGGTATGTGTCAAGCTTCTGTAGGCAGAGACATAAACATCTGTGTTGTGTACGCACACATATGTATAAAAATGTGTCTATATTAACACTTAACGATGTTACTGGTTTCTCCTGCATTCATATGCCCATGTCATAGCCCGTGGTGGGCATTTCACATGCTATCCCCTAGGTTCACACTTTGCAGCTTGCTTCTGTGCTCTCCTTTCCGAGCTCAGCAGGAGTGACGAGGTCCTTTACAAGCAGTGGTCGTTTCCCCCCATGTAGCAGCTGAACAGCCCTGTTCACCTTAGCTTGGCATCGAGTCGCCTGTTTTCTCCTTCGGTTCAGGCTCTTTCTCGAGCCCCTCGCTGCGTTACCCGTGCAGCTCCGTGCACACAACCCCACTACCAAATTTCCATTTGAGATTCCCATTAGCTGGAAGGCTTTGCAGCTGCTTTCACCTGGCATTGAGGCCGTTTTGCATTTCCAGCATCGGAGAGCTAGTGATCCAGCAGGAATTTGGGCTGGCAGGCCTGGCTGCAAGGCTCGGTGGGAAGTAATGCTGTGTAATCTTAATCCTGACATAATCAATAACATGATTTGGGAAGCTCCTGTGCGAACTGTCCTAACTGGCCCACACTCTGTCCCTTCTTAGCTGGCTGCTCTGTGCTTTCAAGAAAGCCTGACTTTTGAGGCTACTGGGTATGTATTTAGTGGCTTTTTCTCTCTTTTTTTCTCCTTTAAAACTAAAATTGCCGTGTGAGTTGTGACTTGTAGAATGAGTAGGGCTGCAGAAACACTTGTCAAAGGCTGATCTTGGTTCTTGTCAAAAGTCTTGGGGAAAAAGGGGGAAAAAAAAAAAGTGGGGTATCCAGTGCTTAGCCCGTTTGAATCTGGTTTATCAACAGATGAGCACGATGATCAAGTGAGACACTCGTGGGTTCCCTACTTGCTTTGTGGCTCCTGAGGAGCCTGGGCAGCTCACAGGAGTGATTCTACCTGACTTCTGGTTTTTCTCTCTGTGTCTTTTTTGTCTAACTGTCCTGCAGCTACCTGAGCTGCTAGGGGAGCCCATGTGGGCAGCAAAGCAACCGTCCGCTGCGGGTTGCAGGAGCGCCCTGCTTGTTGCAGGGGGATGCTGTGAAGCTGCGTGAATAACTGCATTAAACCGCCTCCCTTTCTGTCCCTGCTCTCCTCCTCCTCCTCTCCCATCCTGCGTTAGCCATTTTAAAGGGAATTGTGGTGTCTACGGCTCTCAAGTGAAAGCACATGCTGCTCCCTCGTGGAGCAGCGCGCAGTGCAGGCGGAGCGGCGCCGGGATGCTCCGCATCCGCAGGCAGGCAGCTTTGCGCGCAGGACCTGGAGGAGCAGCCTCCGAAATAACCGGTGCTCCCTTCACGAGGGGAAGACGCAATTTGCAGGAGATGACACAAGGGTTTTTCCTCTCCTTGTCTTTTTTTCCAGCAGCTCCTGCTTCGCCTTGGGTGTAACCCATTGCAGTAGCTTGTGGAGCCAGCGTAGCTTTGGAGGATGGATCAGTGAGGAAGGATGGGGATGTGGCAGTGGGGAGAGGTTTCTCCCTCCTTTTTCCATTGGCCTGGAGAAGCCGCGGCTCTGGGTTCAGGCGGCTGCTGCTCTGATCCTGTGGGTGCCTGTACCTGCAGCACCACACACGGAGGGCACTCAGCCCTCCCTGAGACAGGCTTAAATGTCCCCTGCAAGACAAACCTGGAGAGGAGCAGGGATTCCCTAGTGCTTCCCACACTGGGTTCCCAGCTGCAGAGCCTGCTAAATCCTGCCTTGTTGTCCAGCAGCGTGACCCATCACTCACCTTCCTATCAGCTGGATATCTTGGGTCATTGCAATGTATGAGCGGTGGCTTTTGCCTCCTAAAGGGCTGTGATCCATTGGTTTATTCCTCCCAGCTGCTCCCTGGGGTTGCACAGCTTTGAGGAAGGAGGAGATCTTTAGCCCGAGGTCCTCCTGGGGGCTCCTATGAGGTCAGGAGCCCAGAAGTTCATTAGTCCCCTGGCCCTGGGGACATTTCCAACCTGGCTGGGAAGCAGCTGCTCTGGCAGAGATGGTTGAAGCGTGATTGCAGGCACAAGAGGGCAGAGTTGGCTCGCGCTCCAGCGCTGCTCCGTCCCATGGACCTGCTGAGCTGGAGCAGACCTTACCCTCGGCACAGGCAGCAGCCACGGCGCTCCTGGCACAAATGTCACTCTAGAACTGGCCTTCAGCCCCAGTATTAACTAAGGGAGGGAACAACATTTTCATATACTTATGTATGTGTGAGGATATAGCATGTCTATGCATGTGTGTGTGTTTATATATATACACATATATGTGTGTGTGGATGAAAGACAGTTCCCTTCTCCAGTCACTCTGAAAGGTCAGCTCTGCACCCCCGCTATTCTTGCAGCCCTCTGGCTACAGAGATGTTGCTGGCATTAATAAAGGTTTCATATTAATATTGATGTGAGGCTTGCAAACATCAATTGATTCTTAATTAGCAGCTGAGCAATGACTTGTGCGGTGCAGTTAATGAAACACGGGGGTAGGTTGGCGAGCGGTGTCTGCTCTAAACCCTGCAAGTGGCGTAAATGCAGATCGCAGGTCCTGTTTGTGTTTAAATTAGCAGAGGTGCCGCTGCTAATGGACACGTCGTCCGAGCAGATGCTCAGCAGGCTGTTAACACTGGCTCGTTCTGAGCGTGTCTTTCATGATGCTGCCTGCGAGGAGCTGGAATAGTCACGGTGGGATATAGTCTCCTGCTAACGTGGTGATAGTTGGCTTTGGCAGTGTCAGGCTTTGCAGAAATGGGAAATTGGAAGCTTTTAAATGAGTT